ATTTATGTTTTTTTATTAAAAATATTGGTTAAAAATTAAAAATAATATTTTTTATTGAATATCATTTAGTATGTTTTCATATTTTTAATTAAAATTTGTTATTTTTTTTGTTTTTAATAACTGTTAAAGATATATTTAATATTTTCTTTCAGATGTATTAAAAAAAGGATATATTTAACTTAAAAATTTTAGTTTTCTCGAATGGTGATGCTTTCCTTTCCTAGTTCATAACTTGTGCCTCACTTCAAAGACTTGTAAGTCCTCTTCAACCCTGTGGACTCTTGACAATGGCCATTGTCCATTCATGAATGAATGAATCATCATAGGCTTTCAATCCCGTGTCTCATTTCAAAGACTTGTAATTCCTATTCCACACATTCAGTGCTCTCGAAATGTTGTAGTGCTCATAAATCAGCCTATGGGGTTTCAATTTGACTGAGGAGCTGGCCACACATGACGATAACATCTCTAGTTGGAGAGCTTTGATTTTTTTTCCTCATTCTCGGGGGAAAACTATTCATACTATTAATAGTGATGTCTTGTTAATTGCATATGTGAAAATGCCCTAATGAATTGGGTAAACTACTGACGTACCAGAAAAACAAAATTGATTTTTTTTAACGTATTTTATATTAACCTCATTCTCTAAAATTTGACTTAAAGCATATATATAAAGATAATATATTTTTAAAAAATAGATCATATTTATTATATTTTTAATGTAAGAAATATTCATTTTTTTAATAAAAATTGTCACTTTTAATTCTTTATTCCCAATTATTATGACTGGAAATAACATTTTATGTTGATGTTTTGAAATAGTCACTTATATTATAAAATAATATAATTTTTATATAAAGATGAATTTAGAAAATAGTTAGCAATTCAAAAGTTACTTTTGGAGAGCTGTGTCACTATTTTCATAAATTAAAAATTTAAAAATTTAAATAATTTTTAACTTATAAATTTAATAAAATATTAATCAACTAACAATAACTCATGAATTTTTTCTTTATCTTTTCTTTACTTACAAAAGTTATTCATTTTATAATTGTAGTTATCTTTTTCACACATTTCTATTCTCTCTTTTTTTTTTCTTTCTCTTTATTAATAATAAAACATCATATTATTTTAATTTTTATTTATTTATCATTATGTAAATACTATTTAGTTAACACAGCGTATAAACTTAAGTTTTAATGTTAAAAAAAATCATCATTTAATGATTATTTAGTGACTGAATATTTTTTGTTACTATAATAATTAATTTAGAGACTAAATACATTATTTATTTAGAAATTTATATTTTATTTTTTTAGTGACATAAGTAGAAATTAATTTTTAAAAAATTAGAATTTAATTTATTAGTTATTATTAATTATAAATTTATAGACTAATTTATAATTTATTTAAAAAAATATTCTTTAATTGACATATTTTTTAACTAGTAAAATAAAAAAATAAAATAATAGTCATTAATTAATGCAGTGATCAACTTAATAATTTTTTTTATTAAAAATTCATAATTAATTTATCTATCACTGATAGCGACTGTTTTAAAAATTGATTTATAATTCATTTTAAAAGAATATTCATTAATTCAACTTTACAATGAACTAACTTTTTTAGAAAATTAGCATATGAGTTACTAATCATTATTAGTGATTGATTTAGAGAATAATTTTAATTTATTAAAATTAAAATTATAAAATTATTCATTAATCGTCGTAATAACTGAATTTATGACTGATTGTTTAGAATGTTAGATGCTGATTTATTATTCATGGTTAGTGACTAATTTAGAAACTAATTTTATAATTGTTAAAATAAAAAAAATTCAAAACATATTCATCAATCAATTTGGAAATTGAATTATTATAACTATTAATTATAATAATTTTTTAATAACAAGTACAATTTTTATTTTATAATTCATAATTTATACTATTTAAAATATTTATACAATATATTTTTTTATTAATTAACAAGATTTCATTGGTCTTATTTCTTTCTCTTAAATAATCTTAATTTTTAAGAATTAAAAAAAATTTATTTTTATTTTTATTTTTTCTAGATAACAAATATTGAAAAAGATATTCAATTAAATAATTAATTATTACAAAAAATATAAAAAAGATAAACTTTCAACCTTCTAATTTACAATCAATGAACCTGTCTACAAAAAATAAAAAATAAAAAATAAAAGTTAGAATAAAAAATTAATATGATTAATTTTAATCATATTTTTAAATTAACATTTAAATTATTAATAACCAATTTTGACACTAAAATCAATCTCTAAATCAATTTTAGATTTATGAAATTAAATTATAGTCTTTAAAATTCCTACTAAATTAACTTTTAAATTAATCTTAAAATTAGTCAATAAAATTGATGTCAATAATAATTGTCATTAATTCTGTTTAAATATAAAATTAGTTAGTATAATTAATTAATATATAATAATTTAATTTTTTAATTTATATTTAAAGAGACGTGATAAATACTTATATATATTAATTTTTAATTAAAAATTAAATATATAACAATAAATTTATATATATATATATATATATATATTTATTTATTTATTTATTTAAAAATAACTACAGTTATATATTTAAAATTAACTCTATCACACAACTCCCTCAGCCCTATCTCCCTTTCCCTCCCCTCCCCTTCCTTCTCCCACAACTCCCTCACCCCTTTCCCCTTAACACACTAGCCTGTAGCTCCTATTTTCTCTTCTCACAACTCCCTGTCATCCCCTTCCTCCTTGCATCTCTTTTCTTTTCTTGTGGATCTCTCACTCTTTCCTTCCAACCCATTAACTCTGTCTCCCCCTATTGCAATCCTTTTTTTTCCTTCTCATAACTTTCCTTCCTCTTTCCTGTAACTTCTTACTCTCCCAAAATAATGTCCCTCTTCCGATTTCTCTCTTCCCACAAAATTTGTTTTAAAGAATAAATTGAAAAAGTACCAACCCATGACCAACTTGTGGGTTAGGGAGAAAGGGATGAGAGAGCTGTGAAAAGTGGAAGAGGAAGAAAAAAGGCTGTGAGAAAGGGATGAGAAACTGCAAGAAGAGGAAATATGTTGGAGGAAGGAGAGATAGCGCTGGTAGATTTGGGTAAGACGGGATGAGAGAGCTATGACAAGAAGGAGAAAGGAGAGGGAAGGGAAAGTAGGGGAGTAAGCATCACCTAGACAAATTTCACCAATTTTAAATAAAAAAATCTAACTTGAATTAAATAAATACTATTAAAGTCATCTTAGTGCTATTTAAAATATCTCTATTAAACTATATAACAAAGCTAACAAAAGAAACTAATTTAAAAAAAAAATTCAAGAATTAAGTTTAATAAAAATGAGTTATAGAATTAAAGTGAATTTTATTTTAAAGTTATGGATAAAAAGACTAATTTTACTTTTTTTTTTAACACAAAATGAATTATGTGCATAGCTTTAATTGTTATTCAAATTCATATATCAACATATTTTCTTACAAATATTTTTCGTTCAGGGATAGAAAATATACACGAGTATATTAATATTTTGTACCCTTAAAATAAATATGTCACACTAGACTAAACATATTTCAAGACAATCATATTAAATTTAAATTGAATAGTAAATAAATATTTCAAAATTAATATATATATATTCTCTGATTCATATATAATTATTTTATTTATTTATTTTTAAATTATATAAATCGGTACATTTATAATATACTACATTTTAATATCGTTGACCACTTGATTTGTAAGCAAAGTCTCGCAAGATTTTACATATTTTGGTAAGTACGCTTATGTTCCAAACACAACAGTGGAAAAAAGTGTTACATATTAGTCTTTTATATGATTGGCCACTTGATTGACATGTAAAGTCGAATAAAACTTTGAAAATGTTTTACACATTTAGTAGTCCTTTTGTATCTTGATTCAGTCGATTGAGAAGAAAATTCAAACCTCTCCACTAGAGATATTTTCGTTATGCAGCACAAAGGTTAAATGGAAATAAAAATTGTGATTTTACGGAGAATTTTGGAATTTAAAGAATTTGTATTTGACATCAATAATGATGGAAAGTTAAAATGTGAGTTATGAGAAGAATTATGAATAATAATTGCAAAAAGTTAAATGTAATATAAGATATTTTAAATTCTCTCTAATGATTTTTTTTAAATATTATTTTTCTTATTACTATTCAAATACATGCAATCTAATTAATTTAGAATTTTCCTATTCAACATAAAAGATTCCATGAACTAGAACATTTTTATATTTTATAAAATTTATTAAATTTAAAAATAATTATATAATATATTTTTTTTATTAAGTGATACGGCTTCTTTTGTGTCAAGTATTTAATTTTATAATTGTATTCATTTTAAATAACATTTTTAAATTAAAGATATTATTTTATGATATATTAAATTTTAATCAATTTTAACTTGAATAATTGTTAAAATTTAATATTCTATATCAATAAAAGTGATGTTTCTTGATTTTATTTATTTATTTCTAGTATATTATCATCATTTTCAAGACTCTTATTTTAAGTTTATTATTACTTAATATAATAGAATAGTTATTAGTTACTATTCTCTTTAATTTAAAATTTAATTTAAATTTAAAAATACCGTATTTTATGCATGGCCATGTATCACTTGCTAGTTATTATTATTTGTCATTTACTCAGTGAAATGCATTATTAAATGGAAATGAAATGAAATGCGGAAAAATGAATTTTAAATATATTATTTCAGAAAATTTTTGGACCACGGAGCAACTTAAGAAATGGCGGTACTTAGATGTGTCTATTTATGATGGTATAGACAGTGGACTTCAAGGGAGACTTAAGCATATGTGTTTGATTTACTTAATGTCCTAACTGATTTCAAATCTATAAATGGAAGAGATAACATTTGATCAACCAAGAAAAAACATTTTCACCCTCAAACTATTGAAGTTGCTTCTCATATTCATTCATCTCCAATGACTATAAACCAAATGTTATGGCTTTCCTTGCTACCCTTTTTCTTCATAAACTTGAGCATCAATACCAATATTGTGATTGGTCAATGTCTTGGCCATCAACAAGCTATGCTTCTCCAATTCAAAAACAACCTCATATTCAATCCAACAAAGTCCAAAAAGCTAATTTATTGGAACCAAAGTAATGATTGTTGTCGCTGGACTGGAGTAGCATGCTTCGAAGGACACGTTGTAGCTCTTGACTTGAGCCAAGAATCTATCTCTGGAGGGATTGAAAATTCAAGTAATATCTTCAACTTACATTATTTGCAAAGCTTGAATTTAGCTTATAATGAAATCCATTCCATGATTCCTTTAGGGTTTCACAAACTAAAGAACTTGAGGTATTTAAATTTGTCAAATGCTGGCTTTATGGGACAAATTCCAATTGAGATCTCTTACCTAACAAAGTTGGTAACTCTTGATTTGTCTAGCACACTTACTCCACCACATACTTTAAAACTTGAGAATCCAAATATTGCTATGTTTGTGCAGAACTTTACAGAAATCAAAGAACTATATATGGATGGCATAGCAATATCAGTGAAGAGAAAGGAGTGGAGCCAAGCTTTATCTTCATTACAAAATTTACAAGTTTTGAGTATGTCTTCATGTAATCTCTCCATTTCTCTTGATTCATCATTAGCAAAGCTTCAATCTCTCTCAACACTTAGGCTAAACCATAACAATATATCAAGTCCAGTGCCAGAGTACTTGGGTAATATGTCTAACTTAACAACCTTGCAACTCACTGATTGTGGGTTAGGTGGGGTTTTTCCAAGAGTTATCTTTCAAATACCAGCACTACAAGTGCTTGATGTGTCCAATAATTTGGGTCTTCATGGTTCTCTACCTAACCTCACATTTCAAGGATCTTTGCACTACTTGAACCTTAGCCATACAAAATTTTCAGGATCTTTGCCACAGTCTATTCACAAATTTAGGCAACTATCTATTTTAGATCTGTCAAATTGCCAATTCAGTGGGACACTGCCTAATTCATTGTCAGATTTCTCCCAACTTGTTCATCTAGACTTATCATTCAATAACTTTACTGGTCCTCTTCCATCTTTTAATAGGTCTAAGGCCCTTAGAGTTTTATCCTTGAATAATAATGATTTTAATGGTACAATTCAATCTACTCATTTTGAAGGCCTTGTAAATTTAGTAAGCATTGATTTAGGAGATAACTTTCTCAACGGGAGAATCCCTTCATCTCTATTTACACTTCCATCTTTGCAAGTTCTCATGCTTTCTTACAACAAATTTGACGAGGTATTGGAGGAATTTTCAAATGCTTCTTCCTCATTATTAGAGATGCTTGATTTAAGTGGCAACTATTTACAAGGGCCCATTCCTTTTTCTATCTTCCATCTCAAAAGACTTGGTTTACTTCAGCTTTCCTCAAACAAGTTCAATGGCACAATACAATTGGATATGATCCAACATCTGCCAAAGTTAACTACACTAGATCTTGGACTCAATAACTTGTCAATTGATGTAACTAATGAGGATGGCCATGATGTGTCTTCTTTTCCAAATTTGAACAATGTCATGTTGGCTTCGTGCAAGCTGAGAACCATCCCTAACTTTCTGAGAAATCAGTCCTCATTACTCTTCCTAGACTTATCCAGCAATCAGATTGAAGGAACGATACCAAATTGGATTTGGAGATTTGATTCTATGATTTACCTAAATCTTTCTAACAATTTTCTAACAGACTTGGAAGGGCCTTTCAATAATCTTAGTTCAAATTTGTTTCTCCTTGATCTTCACTCCAATCTACTCCAAGGGCCTACACCTTTTTTTCCAAAAACTGCTATCTATTTGGACTATTCAAATAATGGATTCAACTCTATTACCCCACCTGACATTGGCAATCATCTCCCTTTTACATATTCTCTCTCTCTCTCAAATAATAATTTTAGTGGCAAGATCCATGAATCCTTTTGTAATGCTTTAGCTCTTAGAGTGCTTGATCTTTCCTACAACAACTTCAATGACACAATTCCCAATTGTTTGATAACAATGAGTAACAATCTTAGAGTATTAAATATTGGTGGAAACAAGCTTGAAAACCATATTCCAGACACATTCTCAACTTCATGTGCACTAAGGTTTTTGGATCTCAATGGAAATCTTTTGGATGGTACCATCCCAAAGTCTTTGACAAGTTGCCAGAAATTACAAGTCTTAAACCTTGGAAACAATTTATTATCTGATAGATTTCCTTGCTTTTTGAAGAACATTTCCACCCTCAGTGTCATGATTTTAAGATCAAATGAATTATATGGGCATATTGGATGCCCTAATAACATTGGTAACTGGGAGATGCTTCAAATTGTTGATCTAGCCTCAAACAACTTCTACGGTGTGTTACCATCAACATTATTACAAAGTTGGAGAGCTTTGATGCATAATGAAGATGAAGCTGGACCAAGATTTGCCCATCTATTTGTTGATATCTATGATAATGTTGATCCTATTAATTTTGAAGCCGCATTATCAATTGTGAACAATGATCTAAAAATGTGGTTAGCAAAACTTATAGCAGCTGAGCCACTTTTCATGATCAACCACTTAATCTCAGATGATGCAAAAGAGTCTGGTCCTCCTAGTTTTCAAGATTCAGTCACAATTGTCTACAAAGGTCAACAATGGAAGTTGGATAAAATTCTCACTGCATTCACTTGCTTGGACTTGTCATCCAACCACTTTGAAGGGTCAATACCAGAAGAGCTTATGAACCTCAAAGCATTACATTCTCTTAACTTGTCAAAAAATGCCTTCTCAGGTCACATCCCTTCATATATATCCAATCTAATACATCTTGAGTCCTTAGACTTGTCAAATAACTCTTTGAGTTCAAAAATTCCTACAGAGCTTGCAAGCTTATCATTCCTTTCATACATGAATCTGTCTTACAATCATCTTGTGGGAAAAATTCCCACTGGCACTCAAATTCAGTCATTTGAAGCAAATTCATTCTTAGGCAACGAAGGATTATGTGGACCTCCATTAACCCAAAATTGCACTAATGAAAGAGGACAAGGGTTGTCGCCACCAATATCAGAAACATCTCATTCTCATGCGGGAACATCAATTAATTGGAATTTCTTAAGTGCAGAATTGGGATGTATGTTTGGACTAGGACTATTCTTTCTTCCCCTTATTGTATGGAAGAAATGGAGGTTATGGTATTGCAAGCATGTAGATGACATGCTTTACAAGTTCATCTCTCAACTTGATTTTGTATATGAACATCGGGGAGGGAAAAAGTACAGAACTTTAAGGTGGAAACCTTATTAATTGTAATTTGCATTGCTATGTAGTTTTGGATGTTGCATTTCTTTGTTTGTCTTTTTTGTATATGGAAAATAAAAACTTTAATGATAACATGTGACATCGAATTTATATTTTATTAACTGTAAGATTATAATTTATTTTAAATTAAAATAATTATACATAAACTAGATATATTCGTTTAAAAAATTGTGTTATGCATTACTTTGAAATTTTCTGAACAATTTTTATATCATATTATATCACTCCCCCTTGAAACATGATAATATGATACTCCATAACCAGGAGATAGGTCGTTAGTGGAGGACCAAAAGTCAACTTGTGGGGATCATTTTGTGACCCTCATACATTTTCTGACATTTTTTTTACGTAATCGTTTGTATGACTTATTAATGTTTGACCAGTCATTAACAAGTGGTTTTTCGATTAGATTTTAGTGACAGTCATTAATAGTAAAACCTGCGTGTACTCAACAATGACCCACGACCAATAATTAAGTAACTATTTATTTTTATCTTTTAAATTATAAGTATTTATTATTTTAGTTCTTAACTTTAAAAAATATTAATTATAGGTAAGATTAATAATTTGGCTCTCTAATTTTAGTTATTATTCCTTTTCGATTTTCTAATATCTTTTGTTTTTATTTTTGTTCCTCTATCATTATTTTTTGTTTTGATTTAATATTTTTATATTTAAGTCTTCTAATATTTAAACATTAATTAAATAAGATTTTTTGAACATCATTATTACTAAAATATTTTTTTTTTATTTGCTATAATTATCATCGTTATCTCTTTTTTCTTGCTCTTTCTCATGTTTGATTAATGTAGTTATGCATAAGTAACAAAAATAATTTATTTGATTGACATTTGAAATTTTGAAGACCAAATAAAATAAAAGATAAAATTAAGAGACTAAAATAAAATAAAATTAAAAGACCAAAATACTCATTTTACCATAATTATTATTTAGGATTTAGATTATTTACGATTGAAGTTTCAATTGCACTAATCCTCAACATTGCAAACCATTTTTATGCATTAAAATTAAATAAGAGAGACAAATCCAAACTTAAAAACGAATGGTTAGAATTAGTACTGCACAGTGCCGCAGTTCATTTGGAAATTTAGGTGATCCAATAAATTTACAATGCGGATTTTGCAGTTGGATTTATGTGGCATTAATTGACTGCCACTATTACTTTTATTTTAGCTATAATTATTCTTTACTGAGCACTGCAATAGTTTTAATAATTTTAATAAGAGTATTTTAGTAAAATTAAAGTACTTTATCATAAAAAAACAATAAAATTGATTATTTTTTAAGATGTATACGTTAATAATAAGTGAGATTTAAAATGAGACGAAGAAAGGAGCATGGTTAAAACCACATTACAATATATTTTAAAATTACTTTAACGTAAAAATTATAACCATCAGTATTAAAATAAACATAGAACTGTAATTATTTAAAAGTGATTTCACTGCACTCTTAATATGATCTCCCCAGCTATGTGGCGTCTAAATTTGAAAGAAGTGATGATGTCCTGCAAGTGCATTACATGCGAATAAAAAACACGATGGAGCTTTACAATTTCATAAAACAACCGTATTACCTCCAAAATTTTATGGTTAAATATATATTTAATTTCTATAAATTCCTCTTTATATTAAAAAAATATAAATATTTTTGGCTTTTATATAAATTTTTTATTAAATATTTGTCATTATCGTTATAATATCGTTAAGAGAAGAAATTAAACTGTAATAAAATACTCTTACAGAATTAAAAAATAATTTTTTAATTATATGAACTAATTTGCAAATAAGTGTTAATTTTAGAGACTAAATTTATCTTATAATCATAAATATTAAAATCGACAGACTTGTTTAAAGAAATTAAAATGAGATACTAAATAACAATATAAATTTTTAAAAAACTAAAAACTTATATATTTAAGTTAAAGATTATGGTTTAAAATTATATATATTAATAGATATAACTTTTATTGATTTAGTGAAAAATTAATCAAAAAATTATAACTGCAATTAATGCAATGTTAAGAAAAGTACACTCATGACTTATTTTTTTATTTTGAAAAAAGATTAATATGCCTAATTAATTTTTTTAAAGATAAAAATTTCTAATTGATAGAAAAAAAATTATAAGAATCTCATACTCAACGATAGTAAACCTTTCATTCTTATAAAGAACAAAAAAAAATTTCTCTAAAATTTTGATAGAAATTAATATATAAAATTAATATTTTTATCCTCTAACGTAAATGATAATTTCAATTTCATCTTCTAATAATTTTATTTATATTCATTTTGATTTTTTAATTTTTAAAAGATATTTTAAATAGGTCATTTTCTATTAAAAATGTTAACTTCATAAATGTATTTTTGACTTTTTTTACTACATGCATTGATAGTGTATTGTTCATTATCTTCTTTTTTAAAGCTCCAATATTGGTTTTTTCTAATACTTCTTTCTCTTCTCCCTTCCTTTCATCTTTCTTTTTGATTTCTCTTCTTTTTCTTTCTCTTTTTTTTTTCTTATTCTTCTTCAAAACTTCGCGTAGTAGGAGGTGATGACTATCACCTTAAGACACTATCACAATTCCAAGAAAAAAATGTTGTTGTTCTTGCCGACATAAAAGGCATTACTGCTGATTTACAAGAGGATTCTCAAGAATGATGTATCATTTAGAATGGCAAAGGAAAAAGAGTATAATAACAGTAGGAAAGGAGAAAGTAAAGGTGTGGGAGATACATATTGAGAAAAGAAGAGAAGAGATGGAAAAGAAGAAAACAATGAAATTTAAATAAAAAAATGAATAGTGCATAAACATTACATGTGATAAAAAAAAATATAAAATAATTAATGAAATTAACATTTTTAATAAAATTTGCTTAAAATAAAAAATGTTTTTCTTCAATTAATAATGTTCTATATTCTTTTAAAAATTATAATTACTTAAAATAAAAAAATTCATATTTTAGTCCCTTATTATGTTTTGATTCATTTCATTGTTAATAATGTTATAACGATATACTCGTACTAAAGTATAATTTTTTTAAAAATATCAAAGATAATTAACATATTAGTGTTAACTATCATACTTTTTTTTTTGTTATTTTATTGTTACATATTGTTTTCTTTTCTTTTAAGTGAGTTTTTATATTTTTGCTAAGTCTATACTTAAAATAAATAAAAAAATCATTATTTATAATACAAAATAAATTATTGGTAACATAAAAATATTAAACAGTTATAAAAGGTATAAATTGTAGTATTCTACTACTAGACTAGGTGTTTTTTTGTTTACTCTTTCTGTACATAATATATTTAAAATTTGTTTTTTTGTGTGAGTATATTATATTACATAAATTTTTAGGAGAGAATTTTAGAAAAAAAGAAGAAAGAGATCATATATTTTTTTAATTTTAAATTAAAAAATCATGTATCATTTATTATAATAAATATATTATTACTATATTATGTTTATAATATAATATTAGTGGATTTAACTATTCCTATGAAACTTCTTATTGGTATGTTTTTATTTTTTAGCTTTCTATGAAACTGCTTATAACACTGGTCCTTACTGGTTGACTAAAACCTTGTTGAATATATGAGTGGATTTAACTATTCCTTTAGCACAATCAATTGATAAAAGATAAAAAAATAAAATAAAAACCACATTAGTCCTTCTATTAGCGTTAGTTTATCACACGTGGATTTAACATTAATTTCGACATGAATATTAAATTATGTTTTATTTTTTTTTTTGCTATAAAACAGGGCTGAATATAAAACGGGGCTGAATGCCCAAACCAAACCTACAGAAAAGTTTTACTATTCCAACTACCACAGCATCAAAACATAAAAATAGAAACAATTGAGAAGGAGATACATCAAAATAATGAAAAGGTAATGAAGCCTCTAACTCTACTTAGTAATTTTGTCAGCACAACAATTAGTTTTCCTAAGAATATGAGCAAAACGAACAAATTTAATAGACCTGATCAATTTTCTAATATTACAAATCAAGTCAAAGAGGAGGTGAGAGAAGTGCTAAATTTGAAGAACTAGGGACAGAGCTTCCTTGGAGTCACTTTCCACCCAAATAGTATGAATCTCTTTGAGGAAAACCATTTGAAGACCCAGCAAGATCTCCATAATTCTACAGCCAAGGGTGAATAGAAGTCAATTTTACTACAAAAACCAGAGACAAAATTACCGTGCTCATCACGAATGAAGCTGCCACAAGCTGCTTCCCTAGTTGTTGAAGAAACTACTCCATTGACATTCAATTTAAGCTAGCCATGAGGAGGGGGAATTTATCCAACTCTGTTATGGTCGTTAACAAGGTTGAAAAGAGGCTTGATATTTCCCTTGCAGCAATTGAAATAGAAATTAAATTCACAAAAAACCTTGTATACCAACAGATGGGGAGGAACAGAGAAGGACCAAAAAATAAAAGAATTTTTATCTTTCTATATATACCAAGCAGTAAACCCAAACAGACTAAACCAATTAGAGAATTTGTTAAAATTATTATTCGCAAAATTAAAAAATAGCCAATCTATAATACCCAAGCTAAAAAATTTGACCCACTGATAAGGGAAAATGACATGTTCCTAAACTTCCTTTGCATATAAACAATCTCTAAGCACATGCATGATTGATTCAAGTGCCTCACCACACCTAGAGTAAATAGGAGAGCTAGTCATTTTCCTAGCATACCTCTCCTCATTTGTCAGAAGTTTACCGTGAACTAATTTTTAATGTTTATCATATTAAATTATGTTTTAGTTACATATTATTTGGAACGAAAAATAAGGTTTATAAAATCTAGTTAATTAATAAATTTGACTTATTTTAAAAATTGAGAAGAAAACTTGATCCTAACAAAATACAATGTTTACCACGGTAATGAAAGCATAGCAATTGTGGGCTTCCAAGGGGGAAGGAGACAATGATAGTGGTAGTGATTA